GTAACATCCATGTTGCTAATTTTGTATCAATAGCATTATCAGCAGAGTTAAAAAAGTCTAATCTAAATATAAATTCAACTCAATTATAACTATATATCGACTCGGGTGTATACTCTTCAAGTGCATTTAAACCTTATGTATAACATGAATAACAAAGACCAGAAATAATCGTCATCCCGCTGCACCAGTTGTCTGGCACTATGCAGGGTTCACACTCACCCTTCTGCTCTAGGCTGCTCCTCACTACTGTCACTTTAGCTCTTCAGGCTAATGTGCCTTGTGAATGAGAACTCCTCTGAGTTCTCCCTCGATTGACTCCCCTGTCGGACCGCAGAGCTTCTTACTTCCAAGCTTACTGGAGTCAGAGGTCTCCCTGCTATCTTCATCTGGCTCAGCAGCTTAGGCTATTGGCTGGGTCAGAGCCAAGGGGATTCTCTAGGCTGTCTCCATCCTGCTCTGACACCCGGCTGCCTTTTGCTGCCTCCAATGCCCAGCTTCTCTGTATTTCCAGGCATGCCTTCTGTGCAGTATCCTTCTATGCACAGAGCATATGTACTTTAAAGCAGTGTGACAGTGCTGTGCACTGCTCTTGCGCTTCAGCTCCAGCACCTGTAGGTGAGTTCTGTCCATCACCAGCCCTTCCCAGGCTACTTCCTCTCATGGGCTGAGGCCATTTTGAGTGGGAATCACCCCTCACTCTAGGCAAGCACCCAGCAAGTTGCTCTGCCTGGCAACAGTAAGCATAGTTAGCTTTTCTAGCCTTTCATTTTCAGGTATTTTCTCTAGCTCGGCAATAGTTTTGGTGGGTGACTTCAGCACCCCCTTTTTTTAAAACAACCTTTTAAAAATATAGTCACCAGAACTGCTTGCAGTATTCATGTATTAGTCCTATCAGCTATGGATACTGAGGTAAAATTGTATCTTTCCCATGATTACTTTCATTTCTGAACCCAATTAACTTCTCCTGGTTATGAAATACTGGCTTTTTGGCCATCTAGTAAACTCTATCTCTCTTTTTTTTTTTTAAAGAAGAACTTCCACTTTTTCATGTTTTGTCTAAAATTTTCTCCTCTGTCATTATCACTCAGTATATTCCTCATTCAGGGAAACTGGCCATTTTGAAGCTCTTACTTTTGTATGTTTAATTATTTGTTTGGTCTGTTTTCTTTGCCCATATTTAATGTAATCAAGTTACACTCACAGGTCCCTGAGTAACCATCACTAACCAGCCCAGATAGTTCATCTTATGTATCTTTCTCTGCACTTAGGAGACTGTCACATAGTGAATATAATACCTGAATAGGCATATATATGTTTTTGACAAAGTCTAATCACCAGGGATCCTAGTTTTTTCCGATTTAAAAAAATCCCCAATTTTCAGTTTAAAAACAGTAACCCAAAATCCACATTTTCCTGTGATTAAAATGAAACACCAGTAATATATATTAATGGTGTTTCGTATATTAGTGGTGTTTCATTTTAATCAAGGAAAAATGTGGATTTTGGGTTACTTTTTTTAAACTGAAAAATGTGGATTTTTTTTAAATCAGAGAAAACCAGGATCCCTGTTAATCACAAAGCAGAGTGGTGCAATTAATTATTCAACAAAGATACATTAAGTGAAGCTGCTCTTTGTCATGATAAGGGAAAACAATCCTTTTTTTTTCTCAAAGTCCAAAGATGATTCAGAATGTCAGTATAAACTTCCCCCCAAAACTCCAGCAATATCATCCCTTAAACATGTAGCCACTAGTAAACTTGTTGGAAGGTGTTTAACCTCACACTCTGTAAACAAAACAGAGCCCCCAAGTCTCTCCAAAAATAAAAACAACAAAAAACCCCCAACACCTTGATTTTTACTAAACACAGGGTGACAAACCCATCCAGGCCACAAGGCCAGAACTGGACCCACCAGTGGTAGCAAGGCAGGCAGCAGTGGCACAGGATTAGAGTAGCTGTCGTTTGTCTCCGCGCTGCCAACACATGGCTCCAATGGGGCTCTGTAACTGGGAATTCAGAAGTGAACCCCACTCTTGAATTCAAGTCCTTTGGAGGGGGAGGGACTGAAGAAATGTTTTTCTTCAGTGGTTCATTATTTCTGCTAACTGGGGTTCTTTTTAAGGAGGTATTGCATAATTTCAATTAATAAAGATAATGGTTTGCAAAAAGTCATGACAGCTGACCATCTGGTTTTTTAAGGCCAGACTCTCTGCTGGACAAAGTAGAGAAGTATAATTATGGAGAGCTGATCATGACTTCCAGGATCTGGGGGCCGGTTTTGGTACATTCCCATAGGAGTTAAAAACTGTGGTAGGGTGATCTAACCTTTGCCGGCTAGTAGCAGTTAATGGTGTCCTGAGCATGTGTGGGGTGGAATTCAGGGAATGTTTTCCATCCCTTTGAGGTATGGGGAAGATATATTTTCTGAAAAGATAGGATTCTGAATATTATAATCTAAAAGTAGTATGTATTGGCCATCTTTAATCAGGTTTATGTTCATTTTTATCTGTCCTTTTGAAAAGGTAGAAAAACCAGAGGCCTTGAAAAACATAAAAGATGGCTGTCATAGTAAAACACCAGATATTCTGTCCTTAACATACAACCCATTTTAGACCTGAGGAAGGGTACTATTATACCTGAAAGCTTGTCCAAATCTATCCCACCCATGCAGTTTTTCCAATAAAAAATATTGCCCACCAAAACTCTTGCCTCTCACATACTTCATGTACCATCACAGGCACAGCATCACTTTGGCACTGCTAACTCATTTTAGAATTTTAGGAGCCATTTCAGAAGTTCTTTACTTCATTCATGGGTTTTTTTTCTTGTATCTTCTCTTGTAAATTAAGTGTCAGAACAGTGTTTTTCCTACTTTCAAATTCTTCTGCAGATAGCTTTCCTTAAGAATCAGAAATTGTATATGAAATGTAATGCAATCCATGCTATAAATGGGAAGGAGAACAACTGTTTTCAGGGTTAATGAAAGTCAGGGAAAAGTAACACTAATCGGTATGGTGAGAAAGTGCTTGTTAATTTCTATTACTACTAACACTGTGCGCATAAGGCTTGATTATGACACCTTGAATCAGGGAGTAGTACCATAGTCCAGAATGTGTGCGAGGATCTGATGATTCGGCCTTTAATATTGTACTTAAAGTTCTGTATTTTCAAAACACTCTGCAATGAACAAGTTTACCTTCACCTTGGACAACGAAACCTTCCCTTCTTGAACATTTTGATAGGTTACATTCCACAATGTATTATAGGGGTTGGTGACAGCAGAATAATATTTATTACTGATAATTATTTTGTTGATTAAACCAAACATCATTTTCTAATTTTATATAAAATGTGATAACTTTATATAAAAATGCTTATTTCTCTGTGGAACCAGTAAAAAGAAAAATAAAAGAATATGCATTTGTAAAACCAACCCTCTTAATAGCTGTCCTTTCGGTGAATGTTCTCTGGGGGCTGCTGGGTCATTAGGGAGTAGAGGCGATTGAAAATGTCAACAATGTTTTTTCAACAGAAATGCTGGTTTCTTCAAAATTGAAATCTTTTATAAAATGTCATTAGTGTTGAAATTCCACAAGGGAAACAGTGATTCAAAGTAAAACTATGTAATCTTTAGTTTGGGAAAATATTGTTCATGTTGATTTCCAATTTATATATTTTTCTATGTTTTCATAATTTTTATGTGATTAAACATGTAAGAATGCTGACATATCATGAAATGAAAGAAAAGAAAAATGGATAAGTACATTAAAAGAGAAGTCAAAGCAAAATTTCAGACTTGTTCCTAAATGAAAAAGATGAAATTTTAAAACAATATTTAAACAGTATGCAATATTAAGAGACGGTATTAATGATCATTTGAGGTCTCTATATTTCTAAACTGTTTGGTAGTCAGCACTGGAAATTTATACTAGTAGTCTAGTCACTGACTGAATATCAACAGAAAACCCAGGTAAGAATCTAACCAGCGATTCGGACACAGGCACAGCTTTAAAAAAATTTTTCTACGTACCTTGAGGTAGCAGCATTGCTTGTGATCGCTGCTGTGCCAGGGCACATGGAGCATCCCACAGAAGCATGGGGGGCTCTCCAGTGTGCTCATCAGCGAACCCAGAAGTAAGAGGACCAGAAGTATTTCCAGTCCACTTCTGGGTCTGCCAGGGAGCATGCTGGGGGGCCCTCCTGTGCTCCCCCAGCCCAGTGATCAGCCGTGGGGAGACCCCGGGTGCCCCCCAAGACCCAGGAGGAACAAGTTACCAAGCTAGGGAGGACGCGGGGGGCCCCCTGCATGCTCCCCAGTGGACCAGGCATTGGACTGGAAGTGCTTCTGGTCCACTTCCAGTCTGCTGCCGAGTGCTCTAGGGAGCCCCCCTTGCTTCTGTGGGACACTGCATCTGCCTGAACACCACAGCATTCAGAGCCCCTGCTACCTAGAGGTATGTAGGAAAAACATTTAAAGCTAGACAGCTTTAAAAGTTTTTCCTACATACCTCTAGGTAGCAGGGGCTCTGAATGCTGTGGTGCTTGGGCAGATGCAGTGTCTGAATCTCTGAATGTGTCCAAATCTCTCCGAATTGATTCAGAGTGTTCCAGATCGATTCGGTGAGATTAAAGGGTCCTCTGATTTGATTTACATTCAGAGATTTGGCCACTGAATTGGGCCAAATCTCTGCCAAATTGAATCAGGGACTGAAGCTTTACACAGACCTACCACCCACAGATGCTGCCAGTGGTACCTTTTTGTGGGGGTGCACTGCCAAGCTCAGGGGGTGCACCCCCTACACATTGCCAGTGTTTGTATAGATCCTATTATGTTTTCATCTGCACCTTCCTAAAACTTAAAATGAATGATTTCACATTCTGGTACAGGTGTCTATAACTCCATGCACTCTCATCTGTTTATCTTTTCCTGGCTTTTGTGAAACTACTTTTTCAATATGGGTCTCTCTAATTGTTCTGAATATTTCTCCTTTCTTCCATAGGTTGTGTAGCCCGGACAGTAAATTCTCCCAACCAGCATCTGCTAAAAACTGATGATGTAGTCAGCTGCTGCTTAGATCTGAGTGCCCCAAGCATCTCATTCCGGATTAATGGTCAGCCAGTTCAAGGAATGTTTGAGAATTTCAACATAGATGGGCTCTTCTTTCCAGTTGTCAGCTTCTCTGCAGGAATAAAGTTAGCATCAATTGCAGTTTTCTTTAGTCTGTATTTCCAGTAAACATATTGAGTTATTCCCTTAATGCCTTCACACTCATTTCCCTTTTTGAATTATCTGTGCCTTCTTGGCACATTGCCTGTTCTGTGGACAAAGAACAAGGGGACTCCTGAGCCGATAATCTGTCTGTTATTTTTCAGCATGCTAATATGTTCAGATATTACAGTTGTGTATTCAGTGTAAGGTTTGAAAACCTTTTCCTCTCCTTTTTAGTCATCGGTACATCTTAGTACCATATGTTGTCTGACCAACCTTTGAACCAATTTAATTTTACTTTAAATAAATTAAATAAATAAGTGTTACTTTAATAAAAAACTGTAATGTGAACACATGCCCAATAAATAATATATCTTCCTCAGTCCAGTCTTTACTAATTGAAGATGCACATCTTACAACTGGTTAATTAATCTGCAGTTTAGCGGTGTCTGGGATTTCTTGCTAATGCCAAATTTTCATATAATAACATCTGCAAGTAACATGTTCTGTCATCTCAGGTTAATTTTTACTTTGGTAGTTGCTGGTCTGGCCTTGGAATTTTCTTTTTACTCTACCACAGCAATGCTCTTGAAGGGCGCCTATAGATGTGCTGTGAAGCTGCTCTGATGCACTGTAATTATGGCACATCGGAGCAGTAATTATTCAATTAATCAAGTCTGTTGGTGCATGATCATTACCACAGTCCAGCAGACTCCAGCATCACATGTATCAGTGTCCCCACACTGAAAATTGGTGGTGGGGTTGTTTTAACTAAAGCTCGTTTGATGCCCACCACCATTTTTCAGCATAGGGACTCTGATACCTGTGATGCTCTGGGCACTTTAATTAGAGTGGCTCTCAGAGATATTCTTATTAAAGAGCACCCCCATCCCAACTGCTGCAGCATGTGTAAAAATGCCCTAAATGCATATAAAGAAAGCTGTGGGTCCCCAGGAAATTTCAGTTAGTACAAAATGCAGTAGCCTGCCTTTTTTTATCCTGGACTACTCTCTATCCTGGACTACTCAGTGTGCTAACTATACCAAAATCCCGTAGAATGACATCAAATTCAAGGTTTCAGTCCTCTTCATCAAACAAATGAATGATTTAGACTGTAAATTGAAAATAATACTAGGACTTTGAGGTAAGGACTGCTCTTAGTGGGCCTACTACCTACATAGAGTGTAACTATCCACTGTAAATATAAAGGCTATCTATGCAAGAGACCAGCTTTTTGCACTCCTAGAATATGGAACAAACTCTGATATGAATTAAAACGTTCAGAAAATGTACCATCCTTCATTTCAAATGTCAAATGGGCTACTTCAAACTTCCTTTGATAATATGAACTTGATACAGAATTGATCAAATAGATGTATATTATTGTACCCCAATCACATAATTTCTCTTTAAGGTATAGATAAAACAACATTTTTGGGGAAGCTGAGACCCAATGTTAAATGCACTTCTAAAAGGTATTCAGCTACTACAATAGTGAAGGCCATATTAAAACTAGAATAGATAAAATTCTATGACATCAAAGATATTCTAGTTTTTCTAGAATTTGGCCAAGTTTTGCCCTTCCCAGAAAACTTGATATGAAGTTAATTTCTCAGATTTGTGTCATTATTGTTTTATGAGCATCTGTGTGTGGGACTTGCATTATTTAACTTAGAATAAACATGGCTTATTCCACATTTTTGTTATATTAGAAAACCCTTAATGTAAATAATAAAATGAGAGCTCCTTTTATTGTGTCCTGGAAGGATACATAGGCTATTGGAGAAAGCAAAGAATATTTTACTGAGATTTTAGGTTTAATTTTATCAAATCTCCCAGAATTCAGGGGGTTCAAAAGTTGGGGTTGGGCTTATTTGATTATATTTTCTCTCTCCAGGATAGTAGTCCATTTCTGGATGTTAAGAAGTTATTGTCTAATTCCTTGGGATCATGCCCCATCTCTCTAAAATCATTCAGCAAAGATGCGGTTAGTTTTGCATAGTGAAGCATCCCCTGTCCCTTTGACCCCCCTTTCCCCCAACACTCCAGCGCTAATTGTTAAGATGCATTTGAAAGGAAATAATGTAATGCAACATTTAGTTTGTTGTCGACGACAAAAGACTAACCATATATTTTTACCTTTTGGGTTGTGATTGCATATATTGCTTCTGTTCTTAATAGGGTACGTTTCCTACTTGGAGGCCGCCATGGAGAATTCAAATTCCTTCCTCCACCTGGGTATGCTCCTTGCTTTGAAGCTGTTCTGCCAAAAGAGAAGCTAAAAGTAGAACAGAGCCGAGAATACAAACAAGACCGCAATGGCACAAGAGACCTGTTGGGTCCAACCATATCTCTGTCACAAGCAGCCTTCACACCAATTCCTGTAGATACTAGTCAGGTAAAAGATTTAAACATTTGCATTCTTGCTCTATTGCAGACTTTGCAGGCATTTTTGTTAGATTTAAATGTATTAAGCTTGCAACTTGTCTTAAATTTATGGGTTTTCCTTCTGGTAAAGGTGTAACAACCAGGGTTGGTGTTCTGGGTAGCAGGGGCTGGGCTGGCTGCTGTAGTTGGGTTAGCAGGGGCCTGGGTTGCCATTCTTATGTCCCTCCTAAGTTGGTGCCACAGGCTGGTGCCCTAGTCACTTGTTGCTCATATACTGTTGCTTCTACATTGTGTTTGGTACAGTTCATTCCACACCTTCAGGTAAATGCTTGTTTTATTTCATACTTCATGTCAACTAGGTCTGAGTTGGTTGTGGCATTTCAGCAGTTGCCACTATGTCATTATTGAACTTTTTATTGCTGTAGAGTTTTAAATGTAAAGGCTGGAGACCATGTTAGACTCAGCAGGGACTTCTACACATGCACTTAACTGTGGACTTGACTAATTAGCTCTGCAGTTTCTTTGACAATCCCTCACAGTCAAGGACAATAGTTTTCCAAAGCTTTTTTAATGGAATATTCCTGTGTGTGACTTCTTTATCGTAGAAACACTGCTGCCCATCAGCTTCCACATGGCGCTTAACAGAATGGGACCTTGATCCAATGGCAATGAGACCAACAAAACTCATTCTCTTGCCTTCATCCACCTTCACAGCTACTGAGCTTGTAACATCTTCTTCAGCATGCTCTGCTGTTGGTTACTTGTAGACCCATGGCTGGGGACTGGGCAGGCTTACGTTAGTGGGGACCTGTACTTGCCATGTCACAGCACTGTCAAAGGATATATGTGGTTTTTCAGGAGGGAAAGCATTGCCATCTATTGTCCTAACCACATCCCGGTGGTGCTGCCACTGCTTGGTCCATGACTGCTAATTTGTCAGAGTTACCTCTGCTTATTTCACAGGTAACCTTCTCCAAGGGTCATTCCACTATCTTCCACTTGTGGACACACAGGGTAGCAGTACAGCCCTGGCCCACAGTGCTCCATAGTAAAGTGTCACTGTCTACACATGTAGTATTATTAGGCTGTAGTAAACAAATTAACTTCACTATAGGATAGACTTGACAGCAACAGAGAGGTGTCTCCTGGCTGCCAAAGAAGGGATTGTGTGGAGGAAAATACATTGCAGCTACTTAACATAAGTAGACAGAACTCCCAGAATCTTCTGGATGACCCCCAGATTGGCTCAAATACCTGTTTTGCATGCTAATTAGCATGCATTGGAGAGGGGTCCATCATGTGTATAGGTGCCCATTGTTGCTTTGCTGTGTGCGTGTGTAGCCAATAAAGCTTTGCTTGAACTTTAATCAGTCAGATGTGCCGTGGTGCAATCTGTATAACCTCCCTGGCCCACTCCCATCTCTGAGTTGTAGTAATTTAAGTTCTACTGCAACAGATAGTACTATCTGGGACAAATACTTTCCTGTGGCGGAGTTATTGACTACCAAAATGCAAGTGTAGACTGTGACCATTGCTGGCTGGGGCATGAGGGTGCTAAAGTGTCTGCCAGCTAGCCCCACGCTGTATTATTCTCATGCCAGCCAGACCCTTCACAGCATGTTTAGCTAGGGTGGAGCAGCTTCAGGCTGGCAGGTTAAACTCCCAGGTCCCTTGCCAGCTGGGGCTGCGCCTGGAAGCAATAAGGTCCGGTGCAAACAGTGCTGGAGTTTATTCAGGCACATTAATAGTACATGTAGATGCACTGAGTGAAACAGGTCCAGTAATCTTTCTTTACTGGGATTTTAAGATAACTAAGAACAGAATTACTCTTGCTCTTGACAGCAAATGATATAAATAAAACTTGCATTAACAATTTGCTTCTTTTGCAGCTTTATTTTTCCTTAAGAAATAATAATTTAGAAACTTTTCTGACCCCCCACAAAAATAAGTGTTTCAAGCTGTCCCAATAACTACAAAACAGAATTGTTTTAATGTTGTTTTTTACTATTGAAGTGGTTGTTTTTATTCCTGTTGAAATTCATAGGGATGCTTCCAGTCCTGCTCTGACCTTGGTATGGTCCTCCAGATGTTAGTTGTAGGAAGATGATAAAAATAAAGAAGTGTTTTTGTAACTTGTAGGCTTTTGAGACTTTATACTTCTGAATTTCTCAACTACTATACCTTATCCAGTTCACTGAAAAATAAAACATCAACCTTCACCAGAGCATCAGAACCTAAGTGATTCTGAAGAGAGCTGGGCCTGTCATCTTTGGAAGAAAACAAATTATTTATATATTTCATAAAAATATATAAGTATCAATACAATTAAGGCTATTTGTTTTCCCTGTTTACCCTTTCATCAGTGTAAAGATTAAAATGCAAAGAACTTTTGATTTAGTTTCATCAGTAAAAAAAATATATGATCCTTATTATGCCTAACTTATTTTATTCTAATTAGCTATACTAATAAATTTGGTTGTGAAAGTACATATCTGGATGTTATAGCAGTACAATTTATTTGATCATGTCTCTTTTTTACCTCTTTAGATTGTATTACCTCCTCACCTGGAAAGAATTAGAGAAAAATTAGCGGAGAACATCCATGAACTTTGGGTCATGAATAAAATTGAACTTGGATGGCAGTATGGCCCTGTATGTACCTTTTAAACTTTCATGTTCATCATCTTACTCTCTTTAGCTGGTAAACCATTATTGTACTCGTTGTATAGGATGGTGACATTCTGATCAAACTGGATTTCCTCCATAGCTGTAGTGGAACATTTTTGGAATTCAACTGTAATTGTATGTCTTTACAAGCAAAGACATTAGGCCATATCCTGGGTTCCATTAAGACTGCTTTATGCTGTGTTTTAATGCCTGGCTATGTGGGGATTAGAAACAAACTACATGATTCACTCTCACTTGCTGATGAATGGATGACATTATTTTTATAGCTGATTCTAGTTCCTCACCTTGCTTTTGCTTTGGAAAGCATATGGTCAGGGAAAGAGTGGGGTGGTTGGAGCAGCACAGTATTTTTGTCTGTGAAATACCTCTGTGGAGCACTGCAGTGGGGTGCAACACAGAGCAGGTTTAAGACTTTTTAACGTATGGTTAGAGCTATTATGGATTTCTTCTGGGAAACTTCATGGGTTGTCCAAGGATCTGCCTTAAACAGCCTGGTACTCCTTGGCTCACCCTGACTCCTTTGCCAACCTGAACCTCCTTGAGTCACGTTGTTGTAGTGTCTCATAGCAGCCATGAAAAAGCGCTTCTGAAGGTTCTCAAAGCAGGAGAGTTTGTATCATTTAGGTAGTCTTTGTATCTATTTTCCTGCTCCTTTCCATGATGCATAGAAGGGGAGAAAAATCTGTCTTCTGGCTTCATAAAATGAAAATCCATCCAACAATATTTATTGGATATTTTAAAGTCAGCTGAACAATAATTAGTCACGTAAGCTAGTTATATAGGATACACATGGCAGTGGTTATGCAGACCTACTTACAGGAGGAAATGCTAATCTATAGAGATTTGGATTCTTCAGAGGAATAGACAATAAATTGCAACAGTTGGAGATATATATATGTTGCTCAGTAGAATAACTGTGCTGTTTGGAGAGAGAGTAAGTTTCAGAACAAAGTTCATTACCCTTTTTGTTGCCTTCTGTGGGCATGTGGGTCCCCTTGCCTCCCTTTATCAAGTTATGATAACTGGGACCTCTGTCTTGTCTTCCTTCCCTCTTTCCTGGCATGTCTTGATGTTATGATAATCTTTGGGAGGAGAGCTGGTATCCTGGGAGCTGGTATGCCTGACAAGGGGCTGGTCTGCCTCAGGTCTCTGCCACTGCTACACCCTGCTCCTTTCCTCTCAGGCAACCAGTCATAATTCTCTGTTGATGGAGAGTGGGAGTCACTGGACCTCAATTCTTCCCTGACTCAGTTCAGTTACTTGCCCCACAACAAGTTGGTCTCCATCTTCTCCAGATAAGCCTCTTTTTTCAGGATCAGATATTCCGGTCTAGTCTGTGATCGCCTTCTTTCTTTCTTTTCTAGCACTCCCCTCATTGCGGCCTCCAACTCCTTTATCGTGAGGTTCTATCTTTGGTGGTTTTTCTTGGGTTGGCTGGTCTTGCATGGTGAAATCTCTCCCTGCCTGTCCTCATGACTCTGAGACTAAATGGCTTTATAGGGTCCAGGTGTACAGATTAGGACCCAGTTGACTGTAACTCAAAAGCACAGGGGATCCTCTTTTCCCCAGCTGTCTCTCCCTAGGCTGGAAGTACTAAATTAAAAAAAAAGAACAGGCTCTCACCCACCTTGCCTGTGGTTATGTACTCTCAAATGCTCTAAAGAAGAAATTTCTAGGCTGCCCTTTTCCTGGGGAACTCACTCTGTGTGTCCTCTGCCCCCCGGCTTGTGGGGCCACCCACTACCACCTTGCCATCCAGTGTCACTTATCTCACTGGGCATGTTGGGTTGGTTTTTCGCTCGTGGTTGCTGGATCACAGCATCCCTCGAGGGTTTGGCTGGCTGGGTCTCCAATGCTGTTGGTCTCCTTCCTGCTCCTGCTGCACTGCTTTTTTTCCCCAGAGATGCTGAATGCTGCTCTTCTCTTGGCATCTACTTTTAAAGAGCTCAGGCTTCCTCCCAGGCCAGTCGGTGCTGGCTCCCAGGAGTGCATGCTTCCCTGACCCCAGAGCCAGTGCGTCACTCCAGTTTTCCCCCAGGTCTCTTCTCTGGCATGCCGGGGAAATCACAGCTCACCCAGACTCCGCTGAGTGAGTTTTACCCCAAACCTCTTCTCTGGCATGCCAGTGAAGCACAGCTCATCCAGACCACATTGGGTAAGTTTTCCCCTGGACCTCTTTTCTGGCACACTTGGGAAGCACAGCTTGCCCAGACCCCACCAGGTGAGTTTTCTGCTGGTGCTGCCAGTCCCACAGGGGTCTAGCAGGGGCTGCATCCCATCCCCTGCTATGCCTTCAATATCAAATCACATATATCTATATTGTACCAGACCAAAAAAGTCCCACGGGGCAGTATTGGAAGTAATAGTTACCATGTGGTAGGTATTTATATTAGCTGGGAAGGCATCTACTGTTGCTTGCAGCATGTAATTTTGTAAGGCCAAGGATATAGTTATACTTTGGAACAATATTTTCATTTCAGAATTTATGTAAGAGGTGTTGTGTTCAACAAAAGGTCTTCTGCTTCTTGGGTTAGTTCTCTGAATGGCCACAATGACCTATGTTTCGTAGTTTCATAGTTTCTAGCATCAGAAGGGACCTGAGTAGATCATCTAGTCTGACCCCCTGCCATGGCAGGAAAGATTATTGGGGTCAAATGACCCCAGCAAGGTGTTCATCTAAGCTCCTCTTAAAGACCCCCAGGGTAGGGGCCAGCACCACTTCCCTTGGAAGTTGTGAGTGCTCTGCAGAGGGATCGGTAAGTTTTTTCTCTAACAAGGAACACAGGTTAAATAGTCATTGAGTTTCAGTTCTTTATCATCTTGGTTCAATCAGAAACGGAATAAATATAGATATTGTGAGAACTTTCTGGAGTTCAAAGGCTATGGCAGACTTGTGGCAACTTGTGGCCAGTTTAACTATTGGTATACTGGAGAGACAAGTTGATAAAATGCAGTAGAACCTGCATATTTCACAAGATTAGGTTCTTTGCCCCCTGCTGCAAGAGTAACAGTGTGTGAAGTAACTGGGGGTATTCAGAGCATGGGACTTCTGAGGTGCTCCATCTGTTTGCTGCAGCTTTTATTTCAAAGAATGTTGCTTCTGTGACAAACCATGTGGGACTGCATATGAGCTCCAGCAGATTGAACAAGTGGCTTCTTTTGGAAATAAAAGCTGCAGCAACATTTTAAGTGTCTTGTCCTTAATTTGGCAAACCACTACAAATGAAGCCTGTTGTGAACTACCAGATAAGAATGATCTCAGTTCTGCTGCAATATTGTGTGTGAAAGCAACTGAGAAGAAAACAAATTTTTCACTAACAGTACTGCATCAGTAAAGGAATCCCTATTCTGATTACACTCAAATAACACCAAAAATACTGTAATCTTTGTAACATCTGGATTTGTCATTTTTTTCTGCTTTCTCATTCTAAGAAAATACATAAAAATATAAGGAAAAAGTTTTGCATTTGATGCAAGCTGATGAACCAGACAATCTGTTTAAAAGTCACAAAAATTATTTGGTACAGCTTCTTGCCAATACATCTGATAGAGACTGTTTTAATTACTATAAATTTCAACAATTTAGCAGTCAGATCAGGCTAAGAAACTGAGGACAGATTAGATCTGGTTAATTGAGGAGCCAAACCTATCTTTCATTTGTAAAATTAAATAAAGGTATTTTAAAATATATATAAATATTGCTTTTTTTAGAACAAGTATTATGTGACTTTGTATTTCAGTAAAATGTCTAAGTAGTTTAAAATTATAAATGACACGATATTCACAGCAGCCCTATAGAGGTAGGTAGAGATTATTAGCCCCATTAAATAAGTTAAAAATAGCTAAGTACAAAAAGATAAATGGTCTGATCGTGTCCCCTTGGATGTGCCATTGGTACCAGCTGAGTAGGACACATTTCTGAGATCTGAAGTCTTTAAATGCTGGTGGCAGTAAGACAGTTCCTTCTAGCCTCCAACCTAATTTCCACAGCTACCTCTTGAGGCTGTTACTCCTATTCCTGTCCCCTACAGCCACAGAATAAAATCCATCTTCATCCTCTCTATAATCACTCTTCAGGTATTTGAAGACTGTTATCAAATCTTCCCCCAGACTTCTCTTCTCCAGACTAAATATCTGTAGTTTTATTCAGCCTCAACTCATAAATGTTGCCTTCTAGGCCCATAACCATTTTAGTTGCTTTGTGCTAGACTCTTTCCAAATTGTCTGCATCCTTATTGATGTGTGGGACACGAAACTGGACACAGTATTCCAGGGAAGGCCTTTCCAGTGCTGAACGGAGTGGAAGAACACTTGATTTGCAAGTGGCAGTCCTGCTAATATAACCCAGTATACTTTGTTTTGCGGTGAAAACACACTCATGGCTCATTTGCAGTTTATGGTCTGCTGTAACCCCCAGACTCTTTTTTGCAGTACTGCAGCCTAACCAATCACTCCCCAGTCTGTATTTGTGCATACAATTATTCCATCCCAAGTGCAGGACTTTGCACTTGTCTTTGATGAATTTCATCTGGTTGATTTCAGACCATTTCTCCAGTTGATCCAGGTCATTCAGGATCCTAGCCGTGCCCTCCAGAGCATCTGCAGCTCCACCCAGCTTGGTGTCATCTGCAATTTTGCTAAGTGTGCAGTCTATCCCATCATCCAAATCATTAATGGAGTTATGAAATAATACTGCACCAAAGACAAATTCCAGGTGAACTCCCCTTGATACCTTTTCCCAACTAGACATTGAGCTATTGGTATCAACCTGCTGGATTGTTGTGCACAATGGAACATGGAAACATTACTCAATTCTTTCATCTAGTGTGTATCATCTTAGCTTGTTAATGAGAATGTCCTGAAAACAGTGTCAAAAGTCTTGTTAAAGTCAGGGTATATTACATCCCTGCTCTTCCTCCATCCCCTGAACTTTATCATAGAAAGAAACAAGATTGGTTAGGCATGACTTGTTGAATGAATCCATGCTGGCTGTTCTTGATCCCCCTGTTTTTTTCTAGGTGCATCACAATGGATTCCTTGAGGACCTGCTCCATTATCTTTCCAGGTATCAAGATTAGGCTGACTTGTCTGTAATTCACTAGATCTTCCTCCTTCCCTTTCTTAAGAGGACATTGTATTTGCCATTTTTAGTCACTGGGGACCTTGCCTGTTCTCCATGAGTTCTGAAAGAGAATAGTCAATGGCTCTGAAATTACTGCAATCAATTATTTCAGTACCTTAGTGTAAGCGCTTTCCCTTGGGCCGAGTCCCCTCCCGCCCAAATTCCTTGGGGAAGGGACAGTACCCTCCCAGCTCACAAAGGGCTCACCCGACCCGGACGTGTGTATGCGCTGGTCTCGCCTGCCACGATTTGCTGTTACACGATATGCTGTTCAGTTGGTGTGGCGCGTACCATCCGGGGATGAGACTTTCGTCTTTGTCTGGCTTGTCTCCCGGATCCCGTTGTCCTGTTAGGGTCGTCTGGTCCTGTCCAGCCCTGTCCCTCGGGTGGGCCGCGGGCCCCACCAAGATAAGATACAATAAAGTCCAAAAAGTTTGAAAGGAAAACGAAATCCTGGCCCTGCTCCCTACGGGCCTGGTGCAGCACCATGTGGCGCCTTGGCATCTTCGACCTTCCTAGGCCTCCCGCCTGGTGTGCGGACCCCTGCCCCGGGGTCCTGCCTACCCCAAAAGGTCCAGCCGCTCTGTCCGCTGGCCCTGGTCCACTGGGGCACCGTTGCTTCTGCGACTCTCCTGGCCTCTGCAGTGTCTGCTTCTGCTGCCTTGGGTGCCGCCATCCCCGGACCCACTGCTCCCAACCGCACTGCCTCCGGCCTGTCTCTGGCAGCTCCACTGCCTTCGGGCCCGGCTCTCTCGGCTCCTACGCCTCTGGACCTGTCACTCTCGGCTCTTCCACCACCAGACCCGTCTACCTCAGCTCTGCAGCTCCTGGACCCGTCACTCCCGGCTCCACCGCCGCCGCCGTCGGACCCGTCTACCGCGGCTCTGCAACTCCTGGACCCGTCACTCCCGGCTCCGCCACTGCCGGATCCGTCTACCGTGGCTCTGCTGCTCCTGGACCCGTCACTCTCGGCGCTCCCACCGCCGGCCTCATCACTCTCGGCTCTGCCAACGCCGGCCTCGTCACTCGGCTCTGCCAATGCCCGCCCTGTCTGTCCGCACCGGTGCTCCTTTTGAATGGGCCCGGGTAGCCTCCCGCTTCTGGGTTCCTGTAAGGTTCAAATTCCCGCCACTCGTCGCCGGCCACTACGTGCAAGCGGCGTCGGCTTGCGTCGGTCTGGGTTCCCTCCAAGCCCAGCGCCTGCTCTCCTCCCTTACACTTAGGCTGCATCCCATCAAGCCCTGAGAGCCTGAAAGAAACTAGCTTTTTTCTAAGTAATCTCCAACCTATTCTTCCACTATTCTGAGCTGTTCACTATCTTTGCAGACAACTGCCCTCATCTGATAGCTGACTCCACTTGTGAAGACTGAAATAAAACAGGATTTAAATACTTCAGCCTTCTCTGCATCATCCATAAAAAAAACCTCTGGCTTCTTTGCCCTTCTCTTGTTCTTGACAAACTTGTAGATTCCCATTTTATTGCCTTTTATGCCTTTGTCAGCTGCATCTCAAATTATGCTTTTTTCTTCCTAACTTTCTTCCTGCATGCCCACTCTTATACTCTTCTCTAGTACTGTGACCAAGGTTTTACCTATTGTGAGATTCCTTTTTGAGTTTCAACTCATTGAAGCGATTGCTGTCTGAGCAGGCTGGTCTCCTATTGCCCGTTCTTCTATCACATTGATAAGATAATGTCACATCTGTGAGAAAAAATTGCTAATTAAAATGTGCTTATTAAATATGAAAGGTTGTAGTGCTTTTTAGGGGTTGGATAGAAGATCAGACAGTGGCATAATTTTGCTTATCACACATCATCTAGAACTGAGGGCTACATTTTCATTTATGACCAAAAATTCAGAATAAATTAGCTTTAAATGCAGACATATTCTGAGGTAATGGAATCCTCCTGCTTCTCTACCTAAAGCGAACATGTAGTGTAGTTGCACAGCTACCATATATGTAGACAACTAGTCTTCCAGGACGTAGAAGGCTTATAAACATCTGTTGACATATCTATGCTGCTTTAGACTGTGCTAGGACATCTTTCTGTGCAAATGCACTCTTTCTCACTCTGCATGTACTCAGTGCTAAAAAAAGTACCCAGCATTCAACCATCATTAGAGAAATTCTTGGCATGGGTGTCTGAATTTGAGAGCCTGAAAGCAGAACTGGGCATGAGGCAGATAGCAGGTAAGTTGTGGGTTTTTTGGCATTTAGTTACTACAGAACAGAATTGGAATTGACTCACCAGCGGTCAAGTCTAAGTCCTTTCCTCAACTGTTATTTACCTCTAGCTATTTAGCAAAACTGAACATAAAAAGTGGAAAACTTCAAATCAAGAAAATTACTCTGAGGGTCTTAATTAAATTATACATCTCTATGCAGAAGGAACTTCTGCATGAAGCTCTCTCTTTCTATACGCTCAGTCACCCCATAACAGATTTTACATAAGCCTTTCTTTAAAACTTTGATCTTTTCTGATGGAGCAGTTTTATCACTGGAGAGTACTTCAGGTGAGACCAAAAGAAGCAAATTGTTTGCCCCCATCAGGACAATGAAAATTAGTTCTCATCTGCATTAGCTTGAAACACTCTTGAAGAATCCCATAGATGGCTGCAACAGAGGAAGCCACTGCTGTTGTAGGACCTATAAAGCCATCCTGCTAAGTGAACACAGTGTAGGGGCAGAGAGGCTTTGCATGGATGGTCCGTGCTCTCCTGAGAAGCATCTTCCTGTTTAGGGCTAGATGGCAAAGATTTTGCTGGAGGAAGCTTTTTTCAAGAGCTCCCCACCTGCTTCCCCCCAAATGTTTTTGCATTATCAGTGACAAATTTCTCATACTTATGCCGGTTTCAAAGACTGGCATCTTTCCATATAAAATATTTCATTTTGGACATAATCAATATTTTTTAAATTTCTATTAACAAACTTATTGAACTGCCAAAGAAAATGTTTAGGTTCCTTTTTTCCATGTAACTTGTTTGGAAAAAAATTGAAGTTTGATTAAAAACTACTTTCAATCAACGTGCTATTATATTTTTTTATACAACTATGTTTATCCAATAATTCCAAAGTAAACTAGCTAATCAAACCTCAAAATAGCCCATTGACGTGCACAGGCATTCTATTCCTTTTTTTCTTATGGAAGAAGACTATAACTGAGAGGGTGTGATTATCATGGGCTCAAGCCATTGACAAAGCTGAAAATATACTCACAATTGACTGCTTAAATTGAAGGGTTTAGTAAATGACTCCCTTATTGACTCCCTAGCATCACTGTAATAAAAATAAATTAATATGCCAATCTTGCATGTGTTCTGAATACTTCTGCTAGCTGATATGCTGCTGACCACCTTCTAATCATTTTAAGAAGCATAAATTGAGTGATCTTTAGAGGGGATATTTGTCTTTTGACTGTCCATACTTGCATGGCATGATTTTCAGTATTATGCCCATAGGTTTAACTAGTGGGTGTCATATATAAATTTTTGCATGCTACATTGAAAAAAGATTTAAGACAGTCTCTAAAATATTTTAACTTTTTATGACTCAGTCTGTTAAAATATACTTCTACCTTCAAGGTTCTAGTGACCTCTGAATAATAATTTTAAGTCAGTCTCAGCTGATTCTTTCTGTGTGCTGTTTTGAATGACTGGGTAATAAAATGTGCTTATATATAAGAACTATCTCACTTTGGATTTGTTTTTTTGACTGAGTACCAAAATCTGCCTCAGCTGAGCCTCCAGGAACATCAAATTGCACCAAAGAACTTTTCTGTTTGAGGAGAGTGGTTTTGTTTTGTGTTTTAAAAACATAAACTTAATTTTTAAAGTTAATTTAAACTCGCTTTCTTATTATCCTGCAGGTGAGAGATGACAACAAAAGACAGCACCCATGCTTAGTGGAATTTTCAAAGTTGCCAGAGCAGGAAAGAAATTATAATTTACAAATGTCGCTTGAGACACTGAAGTAAGTTTCTACAAACTACAGTCTTAAATTAAGTCTCTTTTCATGGTAGTTTCCTTGTATTGGTATAATAATCTCCTCTTTGGATGGGGAAGTTCTGTTTTTAACTAAGGCACAAGGAGTGAGAAGTGGGTTCAATATGTATTTCACAGCACAGTTGAGGGAACACTCCATTTCTAACTTTTGATTTTTCTTATTCTAAAATAACTGCTTTAATTTATCAGACTTCAAGAGATGATGCCACCATCTTTGCCTACAGTTTTGGGCAGAGGAGTAGGGATTAATTTATAGAAGCATGATTCAGAATCTGAAATGTGGAAGTTTTTCTAGCAACGTTCAATGAACAGTAACACTATCCCATCCAGTATTGGGGTAGGTCACAAATATTAGTGTTCCCTACGTTTTTCAGCCCCTGGTCTGTAGTCCCCTAATCTCACTCATAAAAAACAAAGTGGTTGATTATATATAACTGCATATTGTTTATTTTATTTTACTGTAGTTATTACTTAAAGTGTATAGACCCAACGAATAAAACAAATGGAAGATCACTCTGTAGCATTTGTCTCCATGCTGCTCTTTTAAGGCATCTGATCACTGGCCTGCTCCTTACTGGGACATTCCAAAGCGCTAATTACATTGTACTTTGGTGGCTTTATCATATAGACATTTATTCTCTAGGCACTTGAATGAGATTGTCAGATTCATTTCATTTCTGCAAGTCTGCAGAAGTGGAAGCATAGTATATTTATCCACTCTATATAATACTATTGTTATAGTGATTTGAATTGGAAACTATTTTTAGTGTAGCTTGAAAACTCCTTTATCCCCCACCTCTTCTCCCCCAATCAGTTAACATGTTACAGGGTCCACTTTGAGAGGCTGCCATGGCACCTGTAGTGACTGCACCACATCCTTCTCCTGCTCCAGCTCCCCCAATATGGTTTTGAATTCTCACCTAACATGTATATGAAACTTTATACACTTAGTTATACACTTTGAGGCCTGGATTTGATCTTTTGTGCTTTGCTTCACCTTGCACATCATTAGGCTGCCAATCTGCCTAATCATCCAGCCCTAACCTGAGCAGTACTCTATCTCTTTGTCTCCATCTGCTTGTCCTTGCCTCTCACCAACAGGCTACCTTCAGGGCCCTAACTTTCACCTGTTCTTGGCAGGCCACCCTTCAGTGCACTTGCCCCTCTTAGGCCTTCTTCAGGAACTGGTCCCCAAATTCAGGGTGCATCCCGGGCATCCATTGTGATAGCACCTCTCCTAGGGCACCCCTTCATGGCCTCCATCTTTTCTTGTAGCTATGCCCATGTGTCACAGGTCTTACTCTAATTCCCTTCACTGGGGTCTCTGGGCCTTTCACCACATCTTAATGTTAATTCACTCAGCCCATGGAGTTCCTGACCCTTGCAGAACTGCTCCCTCACTATCTTATTCCCCTGGGTCCTTGATCCTTGCATGGCTCAAAGCAGAGTGCCTCTCATGTATCCCTGTGGCCTCCAACTGCCCCTATAGTCAGAGCCAAATCCAAGTTAACACAAACCCAAAACAGAAAGAAACCACTTATTTTGCTGTACATTGCTCCCTGCTGAGTTCCTTCACTTGTGGAAATCTGGACCGGAAGAGGAATTTAAAATGTATGCAGTGTAGTGGCTCACCATGACTTGAAAACAGTTGATGCTAAGGGGCACTCAATGCTGAGGGGGACTGCATGTAGTGGGCACCACTGCGCATTTTATTCAGATGGGCTGTGTTAACCTATTCTTGTGGGAGGTTTACATCATCATGTTTTCCAGTGTGGCCATGTGTTTTTATAGTCATGCTCAGTGTGGGATACATTTAATCAACTTCATAGTTGGTTTCCATTACTGAGCAATATTGCTTTTGGCAGCAGCTTAATCGTAGAACATGCACTTAATGAGATTTTCTTGTTAGCAAATATAAGATGAGGGGCTTTCCCCTCCGTGCTAAATAGTAGGCCTATGCGAAGCTTAGGTCACCGATTTGATTTGGCAGAGATTTGGTCCAATTCCGTGGCTGAATCTCCAAATCCAGATTGAATTAGGAGACCCTTTAATCTCTCTGAATCGAATTGTATCCGTCTGAACTGATTTGGAGAGATTTGGAAATATTCGATGATTCAGACGTAGACACAGCTTTAAATGTTTTTTCTACATACCTCTAGGTACCAGATGGCTCCTGAATTCTGAGATGCTGGGGTAGATGGAGTGTCCCAGAGGAGCGCAGGGGGGTGTCCCCCAGTGTGCTCAGAAGTGGACCAGAAGCACTTCCGGTCCACTTCTGGGTCTGCCAGCGAGTGCACAGAGGGGCCCCCTCAAACCCTCTGGCTCAGTGACTGGTGCCTCCTGGGTCTGGAGGAGCACCCGGGGTCCACCTGTGGCTGACTGCTGAGCGGGTGGCTCGGGGGGGTGGGCAGCGTGTTTGGCAGCGAATCTGGAAGTACTTCCGGTCCACTCCCAGGTTTGCTGCCGAGCATGCAGGGAGCACCCCTGCGCTCCTGTGGTACGCTCTATCTGCCCCACTATTGCAGTGTTCACAAGCTGCAGCTGGTACCTCAAGGTGTGTAGAAAAAACATTCAAGCTGTGTCTATGGCTGAATCACTGATTGTCTGAATCAGTATTGAATCTTCAGATTCAGATTTGGCCGAATCGAATTGGGACAGTGATCTGAATCAACTAATCGAATCACTGTCCCTGTTTCAGGCTGAATCTGAATCCAAATCAAATATGGCCCATTTTGCACACCCCTGATAATTAGGAAAAAAAGGTCATTTTGTTTTTGAGTAAATGCACTACTTATTCATTATCCCATTCCTACACATGCTTACATTTTTTTTTCAGTTCCTCTTTCATCCTGTTTTTATGGTTGTTGTTCTTTGCTTTATTCTCCTTCCAGTTCCTTTATAGACTCAGTTGTGTGTGATGGCTATACCTGTCATATTATGCTTAGGACCATATTTCAATAATATTCCCTTTGTGGATTAGCACCTAACTCTGAGGGGCCTCCAACTGATTTCAGTGGATCTATTTGGTTGTCAGAAGGGCAATTAAAATCTGACTCCAAAGCCCCAGTTCCCACTTCTCCAGTTATAGGGAGATAGTTATGTGTGTTTTTCAGAAATGAGGCAGGGTGTCATTTCAGGTCATGGATGGCCAGGTTTGGCAGTCATTTGTGGTCAGAAAAAGCAAATAAGATCTGAGGGAAGTGTGCAGAGTCTGAGTATAGGGAAACCAGAAAGTCAGGAGCTCTGTCTGAGGAACTGAGTCAGAGATCCAGAGGGTTGAGCAGAGAATGAGTTGAGGAGGTCAGATGGGTTGGGTAGCCTAGAAATCAAACCAGAATCAGGTTAGGGATCCAGAGGTTCAGACCAGACTTTGGGTCCATGGGCAAACTGGGTTGGGTAGCCAGAGCATTTGTCAGATAGCTGGTGGAGGCATAAACCAAGGCTGAGGAGCGTGGGCACAACATTGAACCTTGTTGCCCAGATGGTTTCTCTTCCAAGTCAGGAGTTTTACAGGAAGGGGTAGAGGGTCTGTTGACCCTGGCTGGCCACTCTGGTTGCAGGGAATGGGTGAGTGGCTATATCTTGTTCTGAACACCTGTCAGCTCCAAAGTTCATTTTGGGAGGTGATAGACTTGGATGAATGCCTGTGCCAGACAGGCTGAGGCCCCAGATTTAGGGTCATGGCCTGACACAGTAGATTCAAACCTTATTAGATTAACTAAATCGGAGATGCATAAGATTTTCTAAGCAGTGGTTTACTTCATCAGATGCTGTGAAAGGACTGCAAGAAGCAAAGTTTCTGAAGCTCTGAGAAGTTCTGCTTCCTACATTTCTTCATGGCATCTAATGAAGTAAGCCACTGCTTATGAAACCTTACGCAACTCCGATTTAGTTAGTCTATAAGGTGCAAATTTACCCAGCCTTCTCCTTGATTCTAGTCCTCTTTGTCCTGGTGCAAGTTATAAAAGGTGAGATACTGCTCAGATTTCCCTATTGGCTTAAGCTCATTTACATCAGTGGAAACTTAGGTGCAACAGAGTTCATCTCTGTCCACCTTGCCACATTCCACCAGCCTCTGCCACCTTCCCATCATTGTGGATGAAGAAAATGGTATCAGAGGCAGGTATACTGCTTCTTTCAGGTTTCTTCTACTGAGGATCTATATTGCTGGCCTTTGGAAAAATGGAGTATCTGTGTCTTATAGACCTAATATATCTGTAAACTCTACACAGTTCGCTGGTTGACAAATAAGTCTCTCTCTCTGACTGAGATCTCTGGAACATTTTTGCACATGGTAATTTGAGCCCATTGTCTTAGATTTAATATTTATTTGCTGAGGGCCAGTAGTGATTGAATCTATTAATCATCCAGTCTTATACTGTGTTGCAGTAATTAAAAATGATATTCCCCAAGGGGAATGTTTATTAGTTTTCTTGCAAAGCTCAATTTTTAACTTTTGGAAAATTTTCTTTTTCAGATAAAAATGCAGCAATTTTTAAATGAGAATATGCCTATTAAAAATAGAATGACAACCTTAATCCTTTATTTAAAGGCAACTTACAAGGTCTGGGTTCATAATGAACAACCATGCAATTCACTTTATATGAAGGTTAAAAAATAAGACCTGCATGAGAATCAGTTGGAGCCTATGACCCATCACCCTGAGCAGCAACACATATACCAAAGCAAGAATGTTATAAACAAGAGATAAACCTAAATCAAAATTTGGCATTCTGCCCTTCTTGAATGGTGGGAAAATTGCTTCTCTGTCAAACTTTTTACATCTGAGCTCTGTCTCAATCAGTCTCAACCAAAGCCATGTATATAAACACCCTCACACTGGGGCCAAGTTCTGATCTGACTGGTACAGGACCAAAGCATTCCCACCACCCCTAATAAGCAAGGTGAAACTATGATTGAACTGTGTTTCCCAGATAGGAAGGGTGGGGAGGAGGCTGTGCCCCTTATTGTGAATTAGGTCAAGGAAAAGGATGCACTGATACTAGGAACCAGGGGAAAGCAGACCACAAAGCAGAGAGATTCCTTGTCTGTTCTCACTGGGTGCATCAACATGTTTAATTAACATGAAGCAATAAAATCCAGGTTTTATTACTCCAGAGTTTGTTGCTCATGGGCATGCTGTTTGAATGTGTGCCTCTGAGCAATAAACTCCAGAGTTTATTGCCATTTGCACATGTGTCTAGGGCTACAGCATGTTGATCTGGGTCAGAGCAATACCGGCTGGCAGAAGGCCCCTGGGGGGTCTGATATGTTTGCCAGCCCAGGTCTGCTCCCTGCAGTTCGATGTGCTGTGGAGGGTCTGGCTGGGACATGAAGGAGTTTCAGCATAGGGCTAGCTAGCAGGCAGCCCCTGGACTGAACCATCCTCGTGCCCCAGCCAGCTGGGCCAGCATCTACACATGTGCTGTTGCCAAGTACTTTACTCTGCAGCAGAACAGTATTTGTAAAATATGGACACATGTAGATGCTGAGATGTTTACTGTGCAGCTAATTAGTCTACTAATGACTACTGTGCCTCATTATTTGCTCAGGGGAGCAGAGTCACAACTGATTTATTCCAGTTGATTCCCACCAGCCTTCCCAACAATAATTTAGGTTTGTGTGCTTTGCTCTAGCCTTTTCATCTTCAGTTGCCCCAGACCATCTTTCTGGGATTGAACTGAATGACCCATATTTCCAGGATACTATGGGTCTAGTTTTGGGAATCAAGAAGATTTTTTTCCTCCATTGGACTAAATTGGCTGACATTAAGTATTTCCCTCCCCTCCCCGCCAACTTCCTTGCAGTATCAGAAAGCCTCGTCAGAAAGCTAACTATTAAAAATGTAGGAATGGGTAATTGTCAGTCTGCAGTTGGTGTTCAGATAATGGAAACATGGGATAACTCTGACAGATAAATGAGACGTCAAAGGGAAAGCTAAAGTCTTTATAACCTACATCTCCCACTTATTCTCTCTACCTCCTCAAAGGACCTGGTAGGAAGGGTTGGAGCTGAGTCCTGTGTTAGGTCAGGAAGGTCTAGCCTTGGTTTTATATGTAAACCTACACTGTACCCAGTTATATGTCTGGTGTGTGAAATGGATAGGTATACATCACCCTTACCCAGTATTAAGGTAATAAATTGGTGGTCCCCACCTAAAATCCATTCATGTATCTGTTTTTTTAATTCATTTGTATGTCCCGAGCACATCCAACCACCTTACAGGAAAATGTGTTAACCTTTCTAACAATACACTTTTGACTCAACTGCTTTCTTGCACAGATGATAACCCTACTAAACTCATTTTAAAGTGACGGTAGAAGCTATATTAAACAGAAGAAGAGTCTCACCCACTTATTTGGATTTGCCAGAATCTGAATTCTCTGTAGAGGTGGTATACTCTTCAGGTGATAAAAGAAAAAAAACCCCCACCTTATTTCATCCTTTGGCCTTTGGCCCAGTAAAGGAGGGATATTGGCATGATTCAGAAGAAGCCAAATATAATTTTTCTTTTTTTACTGAGGTCTGTGACAAACAAAGTCTCTGAGAGTGAGTTAATGGAAAAATAATAATTATTAATTGACTTTATACAAGCATCTGGAAATGCAAAACAAATGACAGCTTTGCTAAAGAAATGACAGCTTATAGTCATGATTTCTTTTGATGTATGCTATGTGGGAATTTGTTTATAAGGCAAAACCAATCCATGAGTCAATGTACAACAGTGCTTAATTATCTATACTTACTTCACCCAAAAGAGAGTATTGCTATACTAATTTGCTCAACATGAAGAGTCTCCTCTGGAATGTGTATGCAAAAAGAAATGTCTTGAATTATACAAGCATAGTGTCTTTTTTATTTTATTAAAGAAATAGGCTGTAAGGTGGAGAGGAGGTTCTTTTCTATCCAACTTGTTTAGTCACTGTTTCTTAGTCCATATTTGAAATTTTTATCCCATATAAAAGCCCCATTTTAATAACAATCTGTTCTAATGTTTTAAATTGATTATTTAGAAATGTCCTGATAAATTGTAATTTTCCTAATACTGCCAAGATGTGTATAACAACTAAAGATTTTTACATAAAGACTAAATGCTATAATGTAGCTGTCATGGATCTAATTTTTTGCTTGTGGTACACTATTATGTATATAGGAACTTAAGAATGAAGGAGTGAAAGGAACCTTCCTTCAGGTTATCAAATTCAGGCACATCATTTTATAATCCTTATCTTGTATAGGAACGGATAGCAGCTTATTTAAGCTTTACATTGATTTATTGTGCTTTTTGCCTTCCAGGACCCTTTTAGCATTAGGTTGTCATGTTGGAATTGCAGATGAACATGCCGAAGAAAAAGTGAAAAAAGTTAAACTTCCTAAGAAGTAAGTTGACATGCAAGTATATTTTTGTATGAAAATATGAGAATATTTTGTTTTTATACATATGTAATACACATATGCATATACACACTGGGGGATTTGAATCCTACATATAAATGTTATACAGCACAAATTCCTTACAAAAAAACTAAGATTTAATGTTTAGACAAGCAGAAAAATAGAAGTGGATAAGAACTTTTATAATGTTCATTAAATTAACTGACAATTAATGGTTCTGGCATTCCTTTTTAGATAGCACTTGTGTTGGAGTTATAGGATTTGAAGAGGAGAAATGGCTAATACAATTGTTTCAATATAAAAATAACATCCAGTAAAATTTTGACAATTCTGAAATATGTCAAAAAGGCTTTTTAAAATTAAGACATCTAGTGGTAACGTGAACCAAACCAGAAACGAATGCTAGAATAAAGTACCTGTTTTTTAAATCAATCATTATATGAAATGTCATTTAACATTATGGTTATTTTAAGAGTTTTAAGATTGCTGCCTCATACAATATAAAGATGAATGCGAAGTACAACAACAAACAGAACAGATGAAGCCAACAAGTGCCAATCAGTGGTGACACTACAATTTTTACTTTGAAATGTATTATATGCTTTTTATGCCCCATTAATTATGTATTTAGTCCAGATAATTATATATTAAGCATGAGCCCAAACATACTATCCCGAGAGATTCATGTTCATATTTATAGTAACTCAAATATCACCTGAGACCATGTATAGTTGTTATAACGACAGTAACCCCTGCACTGATGTATTTTTGTGCCCCATTCAGCCCTGTCAGCATCTACACATATGTTGCAACAGAGTAAATACTGACTTTATGGAAATGGGAGACTCCTCCTTAGTTTGCTCCTGCGGCCATACGGCTGAGAGCAAGCGAAATTCAGGGGCATCCAAACCCCAAGCCTCCAGGCTTGGGCCTGCATGTAGGATGCCTGCCAAAGGATTTGGAAGTATCTGAAGCCCCAGGTAGGGGTGGAGGATGCTTGGTGGTAGCAGGGCCACATGTGGTTCTTGAATGATTTGGAATTGATTTGGTTGATTTGTCCTGGCACATGAAAAATTTTCCTAAAAAAACCAAGCAAACTCTGCTGTAGGAAGCTAGCATTTTACTAGGGAGCTAATTAGGCAACTCCATAGTAAATGTCTTGTGTAGATGCACCCACTGACTATTTATTCACAATGTGGCTCTAGCTTCTTAGTAGGAAACATAACTGACAGAACCAAATGCTTATTATTACTCACAAGAAATATTACATATATTCCAGTCCTTGATGATGACAAAACTTGGTTATACCTGTACATACAGGTTAGCTTTTGCCAAATCAGTAAGTTTTTTATAATGTCCTTTTATATCTTTTGCTCAATCAAAAGATAGCATTGTTTCTGTAACCATAATGACAAGGAAAATATCCTCCTGAAACATTTTATGTAAATATTAGGCAGATGCAAAACTAGTGCGGTATGAAGTTTGGCTTGAGAATCCTTTTTTCATTGTGATATGATACAGTTTTAGCATAGACTCTGCTTGGTTGGCTCACGTGTCTTTTTAACAATGGGATGTTACATAGTCGAGTGAAGAAATTAGTTTGTAATTTTATATAGAATAAATACATAGTATAAAAGAAAGTATGACAGCCAGAAGTCTGGAGGCTTTGTTTTCTTTCTTCCTTTCTCACCCATAACCATCATTTTCACATTCAGCATAAGCTTATGCCAGCAGTTTGTACTGCAGTTTTATAGGGGTTTTTAATTTTTTTAACACCAACAAAACTCCATTTCAAAGGGGGATTTGATTCAGATTTGCGAGGCAGAGCTCAAAGAAATAAGAAATGACTGAGAAATCAATTCAATGTCCCTGATGGACGGGCCAGCTGGGCCCCAGCCCAGGGGCCACTACCAATCAGGAACCCCCAAGATCCTCATCACCAGGGAAGTAAAAGCCATGGTTTTAAACTTGGTGCCACTTTTTGTCTCCTGGCAGTTTGTGTCGGGCACTGCAGGGAGGGACCAGGCCATCTTGGAGGGCTCCCACAGCAGGGAGGGGGCCTCCAATTTTCTCCTTGCCTAGGGCCCCCAAAATCCTTAATCCTCCTCTGAATGTATCATGTGATAACATGGCAATTCAACCACAAAGATATTACTTCTTAAGTATGGAACTCTTTGTGGCTGGTTTATATTTCTCTTTATTTTGAAAACAAGGTGGGTACATGCTCTACCCTGATCTACCTCTCCACCTCCAAAGCTGCTCTCCCTCTCTTCTTGCAGTCTGCCCTGTCCCCATTGCTGCTTGGTAGCATTGGCAATGGCACTGCCAGGGCAGCCCAATAAAGCTCTAGGTTCAAGGGCCGTCTGGAACCAAGGAGCATCTCCCCAGTCCCAAGCTTCTTATGCATTGGCAACTTCAAAGGGGATGTGAGCAGCCCAGGAATCAGGACAGGCTGCCAGCCTTTAAAGGTCCAGACACATGAGGAACCCAGGACTTGGGAGCTGTTCCTTGATCCCAGGCTCTCTTTGTTTAAAGGGCACACAGGAAGCTCAGCATCAGGGACAGGTTTCCTAGTTCTGGCCGGCTTGATGATCCCAAGCTCTTCATTCACAACCCAGTTTAAAGGTGTACCACACAGCTGAGCATGGAGGAGCCTCTCCCCAGTACTGGGTCCCCTGAGCATTGGCAGATGGGCATTGGGATTTAAGGAATTTTATTCTAGATTCCAAAAACTATGCATCCTGTTATGTCAGATCTGACTATCTTTGGGATCTGAAATAAAATTCCTCATATATTAATTGCATGATTACATTAATATTTACTGGGGGCCTTAGATGCACTCTTTGAAAACCCCTTTGAACACTTAATGTCAAGCTATGAAATGTTAATGCTGGGACATGGGCATCCAGGCCTAGGGGCCAATCAGGAATCAAGATTTCTGGGTTGGGGTACACACCAGAGTTGAAAAGGCAAGCAGAAACAGGAAACCAAGAAGTCAAGAAGCAAGCAGAGTTTGCAGTACAATCTTAGGTCATGTTTCCCAGACACTTCTTGTTTCTCTTCCTGGACTTGCGTAGGAGAAGTGGAGGGTCAGGGGACGGGTGCCAGCCACTCGTGTATTAGGGACTGTGTGGGGACTCAGGCACTAACAGAGCCTTACAGCAGGCATCAGACAGCCTCCAGCAATGGCAATAGGGTAGTGGGTTGGGATAGATGGTCATGCTGACCAGGTCAAAGCCTCTGGGTTCAAGGCTGCAAGCCTGACATGCAGATTTCATTGTGAAGCCCAAAGTAACGTAAAGTAGTTATGTTGTTGATTTTTTATTTATTTATTTATGTTTCATATTTAATTATTTTAAGTAGTGTTCTTCATGTACTTTTACCTTATAATGATTCTGGACAGGAGGGTGGTGATGTTTTAGATTATGATTAATGTAGCTTAAACACACAAGCATTTAAACGCACATTTCCATCGGTAATAATTTAGGCTTAAAAGTGGATGGATGTTGGCAGACTAGCCAATAAAGCTGTCACAATGGCTAAGTCAATTTAAGAGAAAATTATGTTACTGTACCTAGATATGCTGTAGTGTTTTTCCATTAGCTCCTTGGGCTCTTGCAACTGTTTGTATGACACATTTATTATAGTGTGATGATCATAATTTACTTATTTACATTTGGTGCATTCTTCCCATGCCGCTTTATCTAAAACCCAGGCTCTTCTTTTAGAGCCATGGGACTGCAAGTGTTAAATAGAAATTTTATTACCACATTGAGAGAGGCCCTTGTCTCATTTCATTTTTTTAAAATAATTTCATGGACATTGTGTGCTGTCTGATTATTCCACTATGGCAGTGATTCTCACCTTTTTAGATCTGAAGCACCCTTTGAAAAAATGCCAGATGGTAATATTTATTTCTTGCACATATTTCTTGACCACAAGAAAATAAAAGAGCAGTTCTTCTGTTGCAAAGAACTTGGAAAGTCCACAGCAGGCCAGAGTTTTTTGACACTAAAGATTCCTATTTGAAATCTCTGGGTGAATCGTGTGGGTCTTTGGAAACCTAACAATGCTTAATGTGTGGCACCCTTAGGAGGGTTTTGTGGCACCCCAGAACACACTATGCATATGTGTAAAGTACTTCCATGGTGGTACTCCATTGCAGAGAAGCATAAAACCTTAGAAATTTGGCAAGGTAACTTAGCACAGCCATGAAACCATACCCAATGCCAGACAGGTTCTCCATCTTAGTTGTGCTTTTTGACACATACTTCAAGGATATGTTAAATTGTCTATGTTGCTTCATTTCCATGCTTTGTTGCAGACTGAGTGGAAGTGCCTGGATGGTCTATGTTTTTTATCAGCTCTTCTGATAAAAAACGAAGGCATACATCTACTCTATATGATTCTACAGGTTCTTGCTTGAATTCAGGATGTAGATGTAACTGGCATTGGTTTTTCATGTAAAACTTCCTTTTGGTTTTTGCCTGAATTACTTTGCTAATTCTTAGACTCCATATACCCAATTCAGGGACAGTTAAAATTTTTGGACTTTAATAAGATCAGGCTGCTGAAAGGCTTTGGACATCATGTTTTTTAACTTACTTATTTTGTTGTCATTGTTGGAGGATGTCAGTGATGACATAAGGATAAAGCTGGTATTCTCATTTTTAAATTATATCTGAATCATTTATGTTTCTGAACTATTAGAATCTTCACTTATTGCATATGGAGGTTGTCTAACCCCATACTTAATGGAAATTCTGTTATGGGTCTTACAAATACTTGGATAATGACTTCTATGCCATGCAAGTAGAGCAGGGCAAAATATACAGCCTGTGGGCTGGATCTGTTCAACAGAGGGACTTTGTCTGGCCTTCACTGGGTACCTCAGTCTCACCTGACCCAGGCGCAGTATGGTCCATGGTGTGTCCCAGCACCCCAGGCACGCAGCGGGGTTGGAACAGCTCCATGGCTGAGCTGCA